CGTACAGAGATTCGTTACTGAAAATAACAGGTAAAATATACAGTTTTTTCTTAAGAAACATTTGATAACTATCTGGACATTACAAAGATTTTGCATGTGAAATTTGAAAATTTTCTGTGGCATAAAATTATTTTTAATCTTAAAATGAAAATTACTTTGTATGATAGATAGAAAGCATGCAAAAAGAAAAAAAAATGGGATGAGAAAAACATTGCTTTGCAAACCTTAAAACTTAATTAAAAAAATTGATATTTTGCATATTAAAGCATTGTAATGTTTACTGATAATCTGCCAAATTTCGTTAATATACGTTTACTAATTCAAAAGTTACAGCCTGAAAATTTTAACAAGCACAAAATGGTTTACGAGGTCAGTCTGAGGGACTGAGACCATGCTGAAAGATTTAAAGAACATCAGATAACACATAAGTAAAATCAAGTCAGTTAAAAATATTATGTGACAAGTAATTAAAAATCAACTGATAGTTGTCTTTTTATGTGCCATATATATGAAATGGGGATAAAGCTATTTATAATTTGTTAGCTGTGACTCGCAATTTTGTTCAACCATTAGGAACATAAAATTAGAGTGAGAGTTAGAATAAGGAGAGAGAAACCATCTAATACAATTACAACTTTTATTATATATGTTAAGATATATGTTAATCAGAGTGAAGATGACATGACATTTTACAAATTAACATTCAAAATTTAATGAAACTACTTTATCATCAATGTATATGAATAAATTTAGCATTAAAATGTAGTTAATAAACCAAATTTTAATATTATATAAGTTTTAATTTTATAAGGAAATATTTAAAAAAATCCTCAATCTCCCCTAGTATGAGAATTGTGGTATTTGTTCTCCAGGTCTTCCCCTTTAATTTATTTACCACCCCTCTATGAAGTACGGAATTTAAGGTAAATTACTCATTATAATATAGATATTACTAAGGCAAATTCCAATTGTTATAGCCTTCAATCTTTTGTTTATACAGAGCCATAAACTAGAAAATCAGACCTACTTTCCACATCCACCTGTCCCATCCTCTTTTTCACAAGTTGCCAGTAACTCTTTCTGACCAATACAAAGGTTACGTTTCAGTCTATCAAATGACATATAATACAAAGGTTACGTTTCAGTCTATCAAATGACATATAATACTGTGTTATTTTCAGTACAGACTATTGTCCATTTTGTCTTTAGTGTGAAAATTTATCCCATAGTGTTCAGTTTGAGCAGGAAAGGAAATTAATTTAAGCCACTCTTGTTGTAGTAAGAAAACCAATTAAACTGTAATAGTTATAGTACATTATTTGTTTTATAAATGTTATTATTTTGTGTTCTTAGGTGTATTATTTAACTAAATAAAAATTATTTAGCATACTAGTAACATCATTAAAAAAATGTAGACATAAATTTGAGCAAAAATACAAGAGGTCAACAGTAAGTACTACGTTTCGTGTTTTTTGTTTATATTCTTTATTTATGATTATAAAAGTAACTAAAATGTAAAAATTAGAAACTTATTAGGTTATATAAGGTTATATTAGATAACCTAATGAAAAAAATAATAATAACAAATTCTTCATGAAGTATGCTTGAGAACAGCTCATGTTGTATCATTCAATATAGTAATGTGAGCTACGAGTTCACTGTTTGATTTACAACTTGTGTGGCAGGATTATTAGTTAGAGTTCATTGGGCAACAAAACAATAAAGTTAATTACAAACAGATGTAAACTGTTATGAGGTATAAGCTATATAGGATAAATAGCTTTAGTTTTCTGTTACAATCTGTAGTCATTTTAGAAAGAAAAATGTGTAATTTAGATTTTATTTTTTATGGTGGCAACTAGGTCAGTCAAATCAACCAAGTTCATACAGAGTTGGAGTAGAGAAAATAACAGAAGAAATATAGGTTTACTGAAAAAAAAAACCATTTGATATTTATTTTAAAATTTTCAAATGAAGAAAAATATTTTTATTCTTAATATGAAAATCACTTTGCACTTGAAGCAGTCAACGCTGATTCCATGTATTTACGGACAAATCGTTAGTAAACATTTTCAATTACAAAATCTATTTTTTTTGTATGAAATACTTGTAATGTTTACTGAAAACTTGCCAAATTTCATGAAGGTACACAAAACATATTAAAAATTCTTGTATGGAAACTCGATGGCTACTTTGTGGTTACAAGGTCAGTAAACATTGTCAAACCTATAAGGAAAAATTTATTCATAATCATTATAATTAAGACTGACAGTAGTGTGTCGTGCAGCCAAGGAAAAAGTAAGCATACATGCCCCAAAACATGCAATCACTACCAAGAGTCTTTTTATACAATTTGATTGTGTACAAAATCAGCCCATCTGAAACTAACCCATTGTATTAGCTACATTTTAGATTTTTGAGACTTTAAACCATCAAGACATTAGTAGTGAGCACATGAAAAATGTAACAAATCCCTGGAACCATATAAATATAGCAAAATATAGCCTAGCTGAATCTGACCATATTTTTCTCTTAGTTTTTGCTTGCGTGCACCTAATTTGTTTTTATGGCAAGCGTGTTTAATTTTCAAACCTGAGCCATCATCTCGATTTTTGTTTGATTACTTTGAAATTAATACCACTACTTCCTTCATGTTCACTCTACTAGCAATATTGTTTGTGGCTCAAAGGTTTTGTGGCCTATAGGGCTGCTTGTATCTAAAACAAAATCTAGATTTTAAATTTCCATTAAACTTTACAGGGATAAACAATATCATTACTTTTGTTTTTGTGCCTGTGCCAGTGGGTGGAATTTAGACTGGTTTTCTGTGTAAAAGTGTGAGACTCACAAGTTTTAATTGTTTGTTGACAGCCATTACTTTTGTCCAAACTAATTTGTTTCTAAGTTTAATTCATAACTTTATTTTCCATATACATAAGCCTGTATACTTGTGCACACTGTATCTCATGCTAGCTATGTAACTATAGGATTTGCTTGTACGCCAGTATTATTTACTATTCACAGTTTATTCACATGTACCTACTAATATATAAGCTTTGTAAGTGGTTTTGGCTAACTGGCAGGCTTTGGCCAGAATTGTCCATGTTTTGACTGTTACTCACTATTGAAATGTGGTATTAACTTGTTGTGTGTGTACCTTGTGCTAACATTATCAAGGATTTTTTGTTGTTAAATATGTGTATAACAAAGATATATGTATATCAGAATAAGATATAACATCTAAACCAAAATCAGCTTGGCTGTAAAAAAAAGCATGGCCAAGAAAAAAGTTTTGTTTTACAAACAGTGACTAAAAGAATTTATATCAAAATGCAGCCAAGATAATCAATATTATTAGATACATAGTTTACAATTCTTTGCTAAAAAAAGGTAAACTTTATGATTACTTTAGAATTATTTTGTTATTATGTTTGTCAATTTTATTAATGATGGTACAAGTATGAGTTACATGTCATTTAGCCACTTTTTTTGTTGATGCTAACATACACAAAAGCAGCCAAATGACAAGTAACTCATACTTGTGCTATTGTTGATAAAATTGACAAATATTATAACAAAATAATTCTAAATCAAGTATAGAGTTTGCTTTTTTAGCAAGCAGTTTTTAACTATCTATCCAATAATCTTGATTGCCTTGGCTGCATTCTGATATCAATTCTTTTAGTCACTGTTTGTACAACAAATAACCTTTCTTGGCCATGTTTTTTTTTACAGCCAAGCTGTTTTTGTTTTAGATTATTATATACATACACACACTCGCCAAATTTCGGTGTCACATCTTAATAAATTCATCTAAATAAGTTCCTTTTCGGTGTCACATCTTAATAAATTCATCTAAATAAGTTCCTTTTCAAACGTTTCATCTCCTCACAAGTTAGTTCTTACTTTCTTTTTCTTTAATACAAATAATCATTTGCCGCTTATGAAGATGCTGAGACTACTATGTTGCCAAATTGAGGTATGCTGAGACTACTATGTTGTCGCATTGAGGTATGCTGAGACTACTATGTTGCCACATTGAGGTATGCTGAGACTACTATGTTGCCACATTGAGGTATGGAAAGGCATTGACCTTCTCACTAATTCTAACTGATTGCTTATTACTGAATATTTATGCTAGTTCAGAACTAGCTTTGATAGTGCTAGAGGTGACCATGATAACATGGGTAGCTCTCATTCAGCATTCATGCATACAAACTCACGCTGAAATACACACCCTCTGAGCTCTTATTTAAAGATGTTTTTTTGGTCTAATTGGTGCCAACAGGGACTTAGTTTTGGTTTTGCTGAGCCTTCTACACATTATATGTTTATCCTAATAAACATTTACACTTAAAGAAACTAATGATGTACACTTCATACTTTTAAGTTCCTGCTATTCACAGCTGTTTTTCTATCAACTCTGGCTACAGCCAATTCGAGATGTACTAAACTTAGTAGTGATAATCAACACTGTTACTCTGGTGACGTAATTATAATTCATAATATACAAAGCCTCTGTTGTAAACAAGTTGCAGCTGTGTTTTCTGAAAATGTTGTCCCAGGTTCCAATTAATGATACATAGTTAACTATTTCAATTTCATTTGACCTAGATAAAATAACATGCATTCACTTCCTCATACAATGGTCACCATCATATAAGAGGCTTAGTTTTATAAATGTTTCTTATTTTTATTTTGAGCTTATTTATTAATAATAATTTTCTAGTGTAATGCTTAGCTTGTTTCTATATAACTAAAAGTATTGATCCCTGGTAGCTCGGCTGTAAGCCTGAGAGTTTATAATGCTAAAAATCAGGCTTCAGTACTCACAATGAGCACAGCACAGTGTAGATTTGTGTTTAATAACAACCAAACAACTTAAAGAGTATTGAGTGATTAGCAAGTAAAGGTTAAATTGAAACACCCATATAAACATCATTAGATAAATGACTTTGCCACCTCCAATTTATTGTCACCAGATTGTTTTGGCTTTTTGAGTAAGGATTTTTTATTGGAGTTACAAGTGACAGAATTTTGTTGTAATTGTTTTTGTAATGGTTATATATGGTTTAGTTATGTTGCTTTACAAAAGGTTTTCACTGTAATTAATATATTATGTTACTTATATTGGCCTTAGTAAGCAAGAGAGTTTACTATACTGTAATTGTTTCTGTAATTAATATATATTTTTATTTGTATTGGATTTATGAGTGAAAGAGTTTTTCCTAAATTGTTTTTGTAATTTGTCTATTTGTATTTGGCTTTATGAGAGTTATTTTGTTTGCTCTAATTTTTTGTTTTTACTTAGTAATGCCCAGAATGTCTCGGGGACCAGATGATATTCCACCTGTGCATAGTATATCTCCTTCTACTCGAAGATCTTTAGCATCCGATGTTCTAGATCGAGCCCGGAGCAGACTAGATCAATTCTGGAAAGGAAACAAATGACGAAGAACCACTTTTCATTCAGTTTAATGAAACTAGTACTTTGTCTTTGATATATGTTTCATATATTGGGGTAGTGTTGTGGAGTGGCTTGATTTTGTTTATAGTTACAATTTAACTGAATAGTGGTTCGCTTTTGCTCAGGATTATTCAGAAAGTGATGGTGATTTTATATCTGTGTTAATTTTGTCACATTTTTATACAAATTGTCATAACTGAAAGTGACATCAGTCATTCTTTTACTTAATTTACAAATGGTAAATTATTAAGTGTTTTGAACTTGTGGTTTTGTTGTGTTACAGAAATGGGGAGGGGACAGTACCAGTTATAACTATTATATTTCAGTGGCTAAATATATGCCAGACTTGATGCATTTCTGTTCATGTTATTAGATGATTTTTAAAAAATCTTTTGATGGCAAATTTTCTTTTAGTATTGTTATTGTCTCACAGAAACTAGTCCAAAAACGTTTCACTTAATGATGTAACCCAGAGAAACCTCACATAAAAATATTAAAGCCAGTAGATAAATTATTTTAAAGCTGTTATGACTTAGGATTTTCTTCTCCAAAATGATGGCTGGTATCTACAGAGGCATTAAGTAAAAACTCCTTTTTTATCAAGAGAATGGATTAGAAGAAATTCCTGTAAAAGATATGTTGTAACCCATAAAAGTATTGAGTGAAAGCAAGATGTGGTTGCAGTATAATATGTGACAGCTAATAGGACAGATAGATTTGGTCTTTCTGTAGACACCTTTGTGCGCAATTGAGGACATTTTCATATTTCCATTTGTGAAGTACATTCCATTAACTATGTTTTATTAAGCACCTCATTTGTAAAATTATTGTCATTTGCCCCATAGAGTTTGTTTTATTACAGCCTGTACAAAATGTCAGACATTTATGGCTTTTAACCTAAGCTATTTATTTTTTAAAGATCTTAGGATGTTTAGTAAGTTGTTTGATGTTTGTTTGTTTAGTAAATTTACAATCTGTTTAATAAATGTGACCTTAATAGGTGCCTTCAGTTTGAATTGTTTAAGAATTATCAGATAGTTTTGTGGGTTTTAAGTTTAAAACTATTCTCAGGTCCTTAAATCAATTGTTTTAATATTAAAACTTTTGGAGTGGGTCTTCTGATTGAATAATGGTAAAGCTCTGGTACTAAAAAAAAGTTTTGAGTTAATTTTTTTCAAAACTGTCAAAAAAAGTGGTGATAAATGTGATGTTACATCACAACAAGAGATATTAAGTTTAATCATTTATTTCTTTATTGGACTAGCAGTAAGAGGATATAATAGTATTTCAACCACACACTTGCTGTTGTATGAGATTTGAAGATTGCTTATAATCTCCACCCATAATGAAGATAGTTGTTTTACACTGTTATCACTAATCTAATCTTTTTCTTTTTTGTTATCAGACTATCCACTTTTTATAAGAACAAGTGCTCATTGCTCATGTATGTGTGTTTTTATTGGTTAATTCCATAGTTCCCTTTCTTTTTAAGAGCAATTGCTCATTGGTAATGTATATGTTTTTATTGGATAATTTCTTAGTTGCCTTTCTGTTTTCAAGTGCAACTGTTAATTGATAATGTATGTGTTTATATTGGTTAATTCCCTAGTTGCAGTTCTTTTTATAAGAACTTGAAATATATGCCATATACTTTGTAACCTAGTCATTAATATGTAGTTTACAACATGTGATAGTATATGTTTCTTTCAAGGAAATATAGTAGTATTTAAGATAGATTTATGGAACAGGCTGTATTTACCTGTGCCATTATTTACCAAGTAATATGTAAGGCTTGACTGAAGTATAATATCAATACTGACCATACTTACCAAACTGAAAGTTAGTATGGTCTGGATGGTATGCATAACTATATTCTAAACCATATTTACCAAACTGAGCTTGTGTTACAAGACTAGTCTGGAGTTTAATACAGTGTGTACAGAGTTGATTTCTGATCATATTTACCAAACTGAGCTTGTGTTACAAGACTAGTCTGGAGTTTAATACAGTGTGTACACAGTTGATTTCTGACCATATTTATGAAACTGAGCTTGTATTGCAAGGCTGGAGTTTAATACAGTATGTACAGAGTTGATTTCTGACCATATTTACCAAACTGAGCTTGTGTTACAAGACTAGTCTGGAGTTTAATACATTATGTACATAGTTGATTTCTGACTGTATTTACCAAACTGAGCTTGTGTTACAAGACTAGTCTAGAGTTTAATACAGTATATACAGAGTTGATTTCTGACCGTATTTACCAAACTGAGCTTGTGTTACAAGACTAGTCTAGAGTTTAATACAGTATCTACAGAGTTGATTTCTGACCATATTTATCTAACTGAACTTATGTTACAAGACTAGTCTGGAGTTTAATACAGTATGTACAGAGTTGATTTCTGACTATATTTATCTAACTGAACTTATGTTACAAGACTAGTCTAGAGTTTAATACAGTATGTACAGAGTTGATTTCTGACCATACTAACTGAGTTTGTGTTATAAGACTGGTGTAGGTTTGAATATGGTATGTATAGTGTTAACTTATGATCATATTTACCAAGCTGAGTCGTTTATAAATATGTGAGGAAGTTTAGACTTATTTGATATCTCTCTTTTTTTTAATCTGCATTTTTTTTGGTTTTGTGATAATTTTGTAGCAGTAATCTTGCCTTGCATTCAAAGAAAACGAGGTTTTACATCTGCGGCTTTATTGTTTTCCTATAAACAAGTCATCTCGGATCTCAAAGTCAATCTAATGATTTGTTTTTTTCACAATGAGGACAAGAGTATTGATAATTTCAGGGGAATATGTGAGCAGGTAACTATTATCATGGACATTAATATTTGCGTTTAATCTCAGCTGTGATTTTTGAAGTAATATTTTAACTGTAAATACAGATATTTTTAAAGTTTGTTAAGTTGTTATTGACACTATTAGCTTGATAACCCAAAAGCAGAACATTAATGAGGAAATCTTGCTACAATTGAGGTGTTAATTGAACTTTTTTGTTTTGAAAATATTGTATTATTTGCTCATGTTCAGTAAAACAATTACTGATGGGATTGGAAAATTGTTTAGATACTGTAAGTTAAAATATAAACTGAATTTTAATAAAAATCATTCATCAAAAATCTTCAAATAATAATATGAATCTCAAAATTTTGTGATTATTTTATAGTTTCGGTACCCAAGACTGTGATTTAAATGCTCTTTTTGAGATAATCTTATACTTGGATTACATTTATTTTTTCTATAGAAGATTGTTGTTAGCATTACTTTGTTATTTGATACTTAGATAACAGCTATTTACATATGTAAGAACCTTAATAACAAGATTTTATTTGAATGTTAAGTAAGGTACTTTTTTGTTGTACACTAAGGATTTAAATTCCCTGGGACATTTTCACATATGCCAACCATTCCTGTTTTGGTGGGATTATTCTGATTTTTAACTCCAGATTACACCATTAATATCGTACTTCTTTAAATTCCATTTTTGTTTTGGAGGAAGGTTTATCACAATCTGCTAAATTTGTTATGGAGGGTGAAATGGTAATACTTTAGAGTTTGTAGCCATACTCAAATCAGACCAAAATGATTTCATAAAACTGAATAAAATATTGTGCCAATGACAAGTCATATTGATTGCTAGCCTATTCACATGTTGGGACAGGCATATTAGTTTCATTTGAAAGGTGTCAAAACAAAAGCCATCTGGCCAAGAATGTGTATCTGAGAAAGCAAGGGGGAAATAGTTCCATATCAGGATGCCACCCTTACAAGAAAGAAATATGAAATGTTGAAAATAATATGTAAACTTGCACATTAAAACTAAGGTTTTAACACTGGATGAAAACATTTTCCATTTGTGCTGATTATGAACAAAGAAAGAAAAGGGAACAGAAAAACAAGATAGTTATGGATATCTCATCTGTAGAAACAATGAGACAAGTAGGACAAATTTGTGTACGTTACGTAAACCATACATAAAGCTACAGTATGAACACCAGTAGGATTAAGCCTGTGATAGAGACTCGGTAATGATATTTTTCAGCTGTTACAGATATCCTGAATCTAGACTTACTGAATGGTTATTCATAACATGCATTGTTTTTATGCTGTGTGTCTAGGTTTTATTGTGGATGTACACTTTTCTGCTAGATTTTACTGAACGTATTATTCTTTATATCTAGGTGTTACTGAACGTTTTACACTAAATGGGTGTTACTGAAGGTTTTATACTTTTGTTTCTTCATTTTAATAAAGATTTTTACATTTTGTTTTATGTTTTACTAAAGGTTTACATACTTTGTTTTTAGTGAAGGTTTCACACTTTGTTTTTAAGTTTTACTGAAGGTTTTAACGCCTTGTTTTTAGTGAAGGTTTTCACACTTTGTTTTTGGGTTTTACTGAAGCTTTTAACACTTGATTTTTAAGTTTTATTAAAGATTTTCACAGTTGTTGCTAGGTGTCACTAACTTCTGCTTTATATGTGGGTGTTATTGAAGGTAGTACATTTAGTTCCTAAGTATACTGAAAGTTTTGCTCTTTGTTGTTGTGTTTCACTAAAGAGGGTACACTGTTTGTGTAGATTTTACTGAAGTTTGTACATTTTGTGTCATAAGTCTTACAAAGACTTGTACATTTAATCTTTATGTTTTCCTGTAGAGGGAGTACATTATATGTGCAAGTTTTATTAAAGTTTGCACATTCAGTTTCAAAGTTTTACTAAAGTTTTTGTTGTAAGTCATACCAAAATTTGTATATTTTGTATGTTTTCCTCAAGGTGGTACAATTGTGTGCAAGTTTTACTGAACTTTATACATTCAGTGTCAAAGTTTTAACTAAAGTTTGTACATTCAATATCTTGGTTTTACCAATACTGTTCTCTCCAATTTCTAGTGAAAGATTTACATTTTATTTCTAGTTGAAGAGCTAAATTTTGTAATTTATTTCTGTTGATAAAATTTGTATAAATTTATCTGTAATAGTGTGTATTATAATTTATTTCGTGCATGACGTTTTTTTATGAAGTCTGCACGTTGTATTATGCATATGTTTTTTTGAATCGGTGTACATTTCAACAAAATTTATTCACAAATTGTTTTCTTGTCCACTCTATAGTTCTTTCCTTCACTTGCAGTCTTATTTTGTTTTAATAAAGATATATATGTATATATTCAGCTTGTATGGTGAATGTGATTGGTACTGTTAGTTTAGCAAAATATTACCTCATTTCCAAAACTGTGATGAATTTAGTTGTTTACATAATTTCCTTAAGTTTGTATATCAGTCGATATTTCAACTTTATAATTTTTGTGTCTTTAGGATGCTTTGAGTCATAACAACAAGGAAGATTTTGTATTGTTTTCATTATGCAGTGTATGACTATTTTTAAAAAGAAATTAGTAGGTTACAGTTATCCAATGCTCTTTTGATTTATTTACTGTATGGTGTAGCTCATTACCTCTTAGGACATTTTAACAGAAATCTTTTATATGTGATAATATTGTGAAACAACCTTCTTTTATCATATTGATATTAAATGACCATTATATATAACATTTGTAAAGATTACTTAGTTTTCTTCAAGTTGTACTTGTGTAAATATCCTATTAACTGATTTTTCTTTTAAAAAACACAAAATGAAAGTTTGTCTTATCTACAGGAGATCTTACGTGTTTGTAATAAAGGATGTCTGTCTTGTAGACATTAATTTCTGACTTCTATAACAATGAAATCATTGTAACTAAGAAAGCTTTTCTTGCAGACAGAAGGTTGTAACAATGAATGCATACCCTGTGTAAACAGAGATTATAACTTGTAAAGATCTATACAAATCTTACGAAAAGAACATTTTAATGTTTGTAATTATGAAGGATTTTCTTGTGGACAGAAGATTGCAATGTTTGTAACTGCAAAAGCTTTTCTTGTGTACAGAATATTGTAATGCTAGTAACTATGAAAGCTTGTAGACAAAATATTGTAATGTTAGTAACTATGAAAGCTTGTGGACAGAAGATTGTAATGTTTGTAACAGGACAAGCTTGTGGACAGAATATTGTAATATCTGTAACTATGAAAGATTGTGGACAAAATATTGTAATGTCTGTAACTATGAAAGATTGTGGACAGAATATTGTAATGTCTGTAACTATGAAAGATTGTGGACAGAATATTGTAATGTCTGTAACTATGAAAGATTGTGGACAGAATATTGTAATGTCTGTAACTATGAAAGATTGTGGACAGAATATTGTAATGTCTAACAATGAAAGATTGTGGACAGAATATTATAATGTTTGTAACTATGAAAGATTGTGGACAGAATATTATAATGTTTGTAACTATGAAAGATTGTGGACAGAATATTATAATGTTTGTAATTATGAAAGCTTGTGGACAGAATATTATAATGTTTGTAACTATGAAAGATTGTGGACAGAATATTATAATGTTTGTAACTGGACAAGCTTGTGGACAGAAGATTGTAATGTTTGTAACTGGACAAGCTTGTGGACAGAAGATTGTAATGTTTGTAACTGGACAAGCTTGTGGACAGAAGATT